TGTTTTTTTTTAGATAGTAAATGAAATATTCTTTTTCTTTACAAAGCATAGCTTTAACGCAGTTCTAGGCTTTTCTGTATCTTGCTTGCTTATGCATTTAGTCACTTTATAATTCATCTGTAAATGTTTATTTTATTTCCTTAGGTTTTTTTTTATCCTCTTCACCTTATAAATGGTTAACGTAACCCATAAGTTAGTGTATGTTAGTATGCAGCATTATTATATGTTAATCTTTTTTTTTTTTTTTTTTTTTTTTTTTTTTTGTGCCTGTGGATTGCCTGTGCATTGAGGCATTTGTAGGGTTCCAGCTTAGCATGGTTGGGAAAGGCCAATGTACTACTCATACAGTACCCTATTATAAAGAGAAACCGAGATAGTGACATAATATATTATATTTTTGTAATCTTCCTATTTTTGTAGTTACGTGTGTAAAAATGCTGGTCTGACCCCACAGATATTCAGCCTAATTACGGTCAGGTTCAATCCACAGTTCAGTCTATTTTTTTTTTTTTGTTTGTTTGTAATATTCTAAAACCATTCCATTCAAAGCACTTTCAGTCCATTAGATATAGGAAATACATTCTTTTATTGTGTGGGATTTTTTTTTTGTTCGTTTTTTTAATGGAATGGTTTGGAAATATATAAAGTGCTTGTTGGCAAACTTGGAATTGCAAAGCAAGTGCATTTAACTATGGTGTTAGAGGAGAGGTGATTCTTTTTTTCCGAAGGTTGTGTTCCAGTGAGAGAAAATTGTATTCACAAATTGCCAGGATATCTTCCTATCCTTTTCTATAGAAAAGTTTTGAAGCTTAGAATCCTTTGGTGCCAACTCATCTTTATAAATTAGGGGCCTTAAAGGTTCACATATAGGACACATAGTTTTAAGGATTATCGCTAGATGTTTTACAACTGAAGGTTTTTAAACACTAAAATATATAATTTATAGTTAAGGCTAAAAAGAATATTTATTGCAGAGGATGTTCGTAAGGCCAGTATGATTTGTAAATTAAATGCAATCGCCCCTTTTGAAAAAGAAAATCGTTCTACCCTTGATGTTGCAGTTTTAACCCAGCTTATTAAAGCAAAAAAGGACATGCTTCAAAGAACAAACCCAAAACCAAGCAGTCTATTTGGTCCCTTCTTATACATTTCAAAAGCAGTGTAACCMCGAAAAAAACGCCATAGTTAATAGATATGAAAATTGGAGTACTTGAAAGAAGTTTTTATTCCAGTATATGCCCCATTTTTTTTTTTAATTTAGCTACAAATAGAAAATTTGCACATCTTGGCTATGTATCTTTTTATTATTATTTTAGAAAGTAGCTGAAGGGACGTGGACATAGCTGTTGAAGTTGATGCTCGAGGAGAATGTGATGGTGAAATGTATGTGAGAAAACTGCCGCTAAGGTGTTGATTGTAAAAAAAAAACAACAACAACAAAAAAAGAACAAAAAAAAGAAAAAAGAAAAAAATTCAAAAGAAAAAAAAAAGAGAAAAGAAAAGGAGTGGATGCTCCATTTTTATTGAGCTGCTATGGATAAATTCCCAGCATGGTTTGAAAAAAAATTAACATTGCTTTTCTGTATCTTTGTCATTGTGTTTTGCTGCTATTTTGTGGATCAGATTTTTTTTTTTTTGTTATACAATGTCATATACTGCCATGTTATAGGTTTTAATTTTCTCATAGAAAATTATATTATTGACATCTTTTTTTTTTGTAGATTTTTTATGTGATCAATTTTTACTTAATGTGATTACTGCTCTATTCCAAAAAAGGTTCCTGTTTCACAATACCTCATACTTCAGTTACCCGTGTCTAGACCAGGTTTTGATGTTCTTACAGTGCCTCATAGTTCTACTGCAAATGGAAATGCATCGAACATTGTTCTGAATGGGTCTCTGCATTAATTTAAAAAACAGCAGACGTTTCAGAAGATCAAGTAATGTCAAGGGTTGGGGTTTTTTTGTTTTGGTTTTTTTTTTTTTTTTTTTGTTTTTGTTTTTTTTTTTTTTGGTTATGCATTTTATAAAGCTGGATAAGTTGTCTGATCTGGGGTTTATTATCATAGTAGTTTTAAGCTGTGTTATTAGCCACATTGATATATGAAAGGTGCATTATAATATAACTCTTGTGTGCCACGTGATGTGGCTCCCCCTCAGCTGGGACACATCATTTGGTATGATAGGTTATCTTCTGGAACTCTTAAGTGTTTTGTGTGTTTAATCTTTTATGGTATAATAGGGGTTTTTTGTTTGTTTGGGTTTTTTTTTTTTTTTTAATTATAGCATAATGCTAATTTAAAAAAGCCTGTAAATCTCATAAATAAGCCAGCTAACAGAGTTGTATGCTGAAGAATAATCTAGCTGTTGCCTGTATGCTGCTAAACCAAAACAGAATTAGAACTCATTTTGAGGCAAATGCAGTTAAGATCCTACTTTTTAGTGCATAAATAAGCATTGCAATGCTACTAGCAGTCGCAGGACCCAGGAGGACTGGATACATTCTGTCCGAATTTCAGGAACATTTCTTACTGCTTACCTCATAAAAACACTTCTGTTTGTGGCATCTCTGTGTCTCTGAACCAAACATGATTATTGAGTTTAGTGCTTGTTGGTTTTATTATGTGTTTCACTGAGTGGCAGTGTGTACTGCAAGTTTCCCTAAAATATTGTACGTACAAAAAAAGGCCAAATCCAGAAAAGTGGGTTCACGTGCCAACAGAGATGCTTTATTTGTCACGTTGTTGTAACAATCTGTAGTAAGCAAAAGCAATTCAGATTTGTACATTTTTATATTGTACTTATTGGCATCACTGGTCTGAAATGCACATTTTCACCAACAGACCTGTAACAGACAAGTTTCCAGCAAAAAAAAACTAAAGTCTAGAAATAAAATTGGTAAAACCCAACGTCCGCTTCTTGTCGTCTTTTAATTTCCTTTTTTTTTTTTAACTGCCTTGAGAATGCTGAATGATGGTAACTCCCCAGTGCAGTGGGTAAAGCACATGACATTTTCTGGACTCTCTGCGTTTTAAAAGCTGAAGACCTTTTGTTGTTATTTTAGGAAACCGTGGGCGTTTTGAGCCATGGGTAGGTGACTGCCTGCCTTTCACACTGAGGTGTCTTTCTAAAGAAGCAAAATACTTTTTTTTTTTTTTTTTTTTTTTTTTTGTCTGAGGGCTTTATTTTTTAACATCAGAGGAAATCCGAGAAAAATGCCCTTTGGTGGTTTACATGAATTAAGGGTATAATAAAGTAGCTGTTGGATGGCACAGAATGCTTGCTGGTATTTTGTCATCAGGGTAAGGTTTTGTGTCCTAGAAGAGACCTTTACAGAATACAGCTGGTTTGAAAAGTAGCAGGTGAAGCTGCCTTCTTTGTGTACTCACCTCAGACACAGCTTTTTTATCTTACAGCTAAGATAATAAGAAATAAACCTGAAAGATGTAAAAGCCTACTAAAAACAGGTAAAAAAAGAACTGGACCTAGRAGGACAGAAATTAGGTATTACTGGAAAGTCAAGTGAGAAAAAAAATATAACCTGTGTTCCAATTCACATTCCAAAGTATCTCTGAAAATGGAGGATGTACATTATCAATTRTTATTTTCAGAGCTGAACACAGCAGATATCGCTTATTTTTAGTAGAGATGGTCAAGCTTATAACCTATGTATGTATTATTTATCCTGTGAAATTATTTCTGCCTTTAAAAAAAAAAAAAAAAGATGTTAAAGATCAGGTGCTTTTCTCTCCTGTCACAAATCACAACTTCAGTATCTGCCTCCTGAGTTTCCCATTGACTCAGCTTCACTTTACAACTGATTCTGTGCAGCGAGTGCAGCCCAGGAAATGAAAAATGAAACTCAGAGCTCGCTTACTAACGTGTTCAGCGCTGTCTAGTGCAAAATAAGCTTCTCTCAGGGCTGTTACCACTAGCTGGGAAACCACCTGCATCAGAAGAATCCCAGATGAGCTGGTGTGAGCTTGGTGGTYTCCCAGTTATTTCAGCCAGAAACCMGCAGYCTGCTGTAAAACCTAGAGCAAGTAGGGGAAATCAGACAAGAGCAAACGTGGTCTGGTTTGTTCTGTTTGAAATGGGCAGCTCCTCTGTGCAGTGAGTTACACTGGGAGGTGTAGAACAGCAAAAGATGACCTAAACTGAACTCACAGGGACTTCAAAAACACATCAAGCAAAAGCTTAAATTAAACTGGGCCCAAAATGACTCCTTTTCCCCAGAATATTAAAAAAAAAAAATGAAAAAAAAAAGACTCGCATTTGTATGGTTGGTGGCTCACCTCTCTCATCTGAAATGTTTGAAAATTGAGTGAGGATACACGTAGGGGATCTTGATTTCTGACAAAAATCTGGTGCTGATAAAAACATTACAATGATCCAGTGAGAAATGTAAACCTGTTTGGTTGAAAGTGTTAAGTAGGTTTTGCCATTCCTATCTGTTTTATAAACTCTATTAAACTGACTAAGTATTGTGACTTAAGTAGGTTTAAGCCCAAATAGTCAGCTCTATTATTTACATTTTCCTTCTCCTGAACATCATCTCTAAATGGAGACTCCTAAACTTTAATGTTGGGTGAGCTATGCCAGTATTACTCACATTGCAGAGGGCAGAAAGACAAGAATGTAGCAAGAAAAACAATTTACTATAGGCTGAAAAAAAAATGCATGTTCAGCTAGGCTATGCTGTAGTTTATTAAAGGGAAAACTACTGTATTTTTTTTTGCATCAAATTGAGACATGTACACAAAAAAACCTCCAGCAGGCCTTGCAAAAGCCTCCCCARTTCCATTGCTGAATTCAGGCCATTTGACAATCTTGGACCTTTTATGAAAACTTAAATTCAAATGCTCTTTCTTAAAGAATAAACAAGATCTATTAAATCTGAAAACTCATAATCTCCTTGCATTCAAGCACACCTGGCATTTTAAGTGATAGAAAACTCCAGAAGACAGAGGAGAAAAAGAAGGTTGGAGCTGTTGTTTTAAAAGAGTGGTAGGAATGACACATGCATACGGGTTACATACTCCAAAGATTCCAGCAATGGGACAAAGGCAGTAAAGCTATAAATGATGGCATTTTAATGAATTCCTGTCAGCATTGTTTTATGAGAMATGTATCTCTTCAGACAAACAAGGGATTTTTACGATCCCTCAAATATAATTGATCATAGTAATTGCACTGSCATGGCCAACATAGTTCTCCATCTGGATTCTGACTGAGTTCCCCACAATATTCCAACCAAGCAATGAGGAAGGGATTGCAGATTAGTCAATGGGATTGCACTGRTAATGTGAGACTTGCCAGACTTCTGATTTTGTTCTTTACAGCCAAGTAGGTCCAAATTTAGGAGGAAAGTAAAAGTGACCTTTCTGCTTCTTTAACGTGATAAACATTTAAAAGTGAAAACAAAAATAGTTCCTTGCTGATCCTATAGCACCTCATAGCCCTACCTAGGCCTGTCCTTTGAAGACCAGGTATTACAAAGTCTCCTGTTTCAGGGAATTCATTAACTTTTCACCGGCATCATTTTCCTGGGGGAAATTACTGGCAGAAARATCTCATGTCCATGGCAAATTGGGAATAAGGCACATAGGCAGCATCTTTACTCTGTGAGCACCCTGCCTGGAGCAGAACCTGCACCACAGGGGGAAAACAAGAACTTTGGTAGCCAACAGTTGTTAAACTCACAATTTTTAACACATTTGGGGTGGGTGACCAAGGGCAAGAGGAGCCTCCTCCCCACCAGGAACTGGCCTCAGGTGTGGAAAAAGAGAATGGCCTGGGAGTGCTTGTGCTGACAGACACATGAGGCAGGAGCTGGTTAAGAGGGCAATCCCCTGGGGCTGGAGCAAGCTCCAGGTACAGATCTCTACCAGCACCAGGAACGCTGAACCAAAGGAGGAATTGTGCCWTGCAGAGGCTGAGCCCAAGCCTGACATGGGCTGGCCAGAGCAGGAATCCTCCTCWAGAGCCAGGTGATGAACAAAAGTCCAGAGTTCTGAGCCATGCCTATAGCATGAGCAGCACACAGTGGAAACTGCTCCCCACTCACCTTTCCCTGCTGAGTAACTTTGAGATTCTGGGTGTTGCTGAGTGGTTTTGTTTCACCCATCCCAYCTGGCAGCAACCCTGTGACACATGGCTCTGTCCCCTCACCAGCCATATTCCAGAGATGCCTGGTGTCCCACTGCAGCTAGCACGGTGCTGTTTGTGTGCCTGGGATGGGATTTGTACCATCAGTCTCTGGAAAGCTGGGCTCAGAGGGACAAAGCCTTGCCCCAGACCCATGAAAGCACCACCAGGGCATCACGCCAGCTCCCCTGAGCCAGCCCGAGGCAGTGACCTGCTGTCCTAAGTCCCTGCTCTGAAGGCAAGCTGTCTGCTACGGGCAATTGAGCTTTTTGATGTTTTATTTCTCCCCTTTATTAGATTGTATCACTACAGATTGTTCAAATACAGGGTATGATTTTTGAACAGGTTTTTTTCCTCCCTGAACATCCGCATGTCGCAGTTCTTTAAATTTTGCTATTTTAAATATGAAGAGCAGACCTTCAGCCAATGTATGCTATTAAATTTGCAGAAGACATCATAAATTATYTACTCATAAATAAAAATTATTTCTTAAAAGTGTAATACATTCATTTTGTAGGTTTGACTCAGTATTTCTGTAGCAGTTTCAGTCACTCACTATGATAATTTTATTCCTTTTACACAACACATCCATCAGCCACGTATTTTTTAGGTGTCTCTTTCCATGGAGACCCTTGGAGTGCAAAGGATCAGAAATGTTCTTCCCTTATGGATAATATTTTTCCAGTATTAGTGAAAGAAATTTCATCTGCCTTCACTTCTGCACGACAGTGTTTAACAGCACTGCAGAGTCAAACAATGCAAAGCCCTACACGTTTGTGGAATGTTGTTTCATCCCCAAACAGCTTTCCAGTCACCTAAATTCAGCCCTCCCTATTTTTAAATCCCTCTGCAAACCTGTTCAACATCTCCTCAGGAATCTCYTTCTCCCATGTTTCTGTTGAAGCAGAATTTCAGGCAAATCACAAGSCAAGTCTTGAAAACGTCTCTCCATGTTTTTCTCTAACACCATTTGTTTCTTTCTCATTAGTTCGAGGAATAATGATGATACTGGATTTTTCTGAAATTTGYCCTCCTCCTGTTGCATAAGAGAACTTAAAATGAGACCAAGACATTAAGCTATAATAAGCCATATTCTCAAAACATGGTTCTAACAAAGTGCCTTTGGTGAAGCAGATGAATGAACTTCCAAACTGAGCTCAAATCATTCTGTACCTTACTCCAGTGTCCTGGCTATGACACATCAAATGGTGCCATAATCCATGTGGGTTTAGGTTTCCAGCACACTTGACTACCTGTCCCATGACCAAGGTCTCCACATGAAGGAAATATGCAGACATAACCCCTAGCTCTGCTTAGAAATGATGTTCTGTTCTGTCAGTTCTTAGAGTAATTTGTTTTTCAYTTGTATTTCAGAAACTGTGAAGCACTTATTAACAATAACTTCTGTATTTTTTTTTAAAGGAGGTAAATGGGGTCTCGAAAATTCAGTGTCTGCACATACATTGCAAAAAAAAAAAAAAAAAAGGCAGTTTAGAGAGAACAATGTAGGCATGTGTTTTTAAACTACTGTTCGTGCAGTCTGGTCAGGGCTGTGTGACACAGTATACAGTGTTTTGTCATCCAAGGAATGTCTTTGATCAGGAGTTTATGCAAGGAGAAAAAAAAAAGCCATGAAACCCTAATCCGTTCCCACAGTCCAGTAAACGTGAGCTGGACAAACAGTGGACAATGGCAGCAAAGCTTGCTGCTGGAACAATGGCTGCAACTAAAAAAATTAAAGGGTTGCTGACTCACAGTTCCTACTATTAAGAAACATTCCACGCAGCGTTGATTATTCCCCAGAATCCTGAAGATGCTGAAGGTTAAAAACTGTTCAGATAAAGTGGCAAAATATGGGGCTAAAACTCAGAAATGAAAGACAGTGACAAATGCTGATGTTGATTCTGTCTAATGCACAGTCAGGATGAAGGACTGAATAATCAACCTCCCTTCTGCTGAAATAATTTAAATAAACTCCACAATTTTATTAGRAACAAGTATCAGTTAAATTCTTTCAGACAGGAGGTCACTGTTGTGGATGTCCCCAAACTCTGCACAACTGTYCCCAAATTCTGCACAACTTCAATATAGCTTTTTAATTTTTCAAGGAGTTTCATGCTATTTTTTATTCCTATTCAGCAATCTTCCCAAAACCAGATACGCAGGTGGTGTACTAGTGGTCAATTAATTATGGATATAAAAYAGGATAAAATAATTTAAAACTTTGTGCCACAAGCTGGTTTGGAATCAAGTGTCACAATGCATGGGGCTTTTTCACCTTTCACATATTCCATGGACTTAGGATGTTTCAGATGAGCTTAGTGACCATGTCTCCTTCCACACAGGAGTGCATCATTTGGTAAGCAGTACTGAAGAATTCTAGGATGAAAAATACTGAAAAAATTTAATTACTATCCTTAGGGAATAAACACTCCAGTGATTAAGGCAGAGCATTCACAGTGATGCCAAAGAGATATTCAGGTTAGCTACAAATGAACTAACTGTGCCAGCTTTCAAAATAGCACACAGAACTTTTAATGTTATTATTATTTTTCTCATTRCTCCAGGCTAGACTGGTCCTGCAATTCCAAACCCTTGAAATGCTTCAAGCAGTGCATTACTCCAGTTGGCCTTTACACATCAGTCCTAGACACAACTTGCAACTGGAAACTTACTGCAGAACTCCTCTCACACCTCCCACATCCCTGTTTTCCCTGGTGATACATCCACTTCTGTGGGAATGTGTATTGTCACAACTTTATCCATTATAAAAACAATTCTGGCAGACTGTAAAATGAGAATCTTCATGGTTACTTGCCAAACTTGTGAAAGCTGAAGTTTTAGGCTGCAATTAGACCAGAACCCATGGCCATAAGAACTTGTAAAGGACACCATTCAAAAGGCACTGGCACTGAGTAGCACCAAAAATAGAAAGAATTATAAAATTAGCAGAAATRTTAAGTTCTTACTCTAAAGCACTGTGGAGTATTAGGTGCAGGCACACTTTTGACAGATGGATCTCTCTTTATTCCAATGCAGAAAGTTGTATTTCCAGCTAAAGTGTAAATAASCATTCATAGAAACATGGCAGGCTCAAACTTTCTCTTGCATTTCTCCAAAACCCAAAACCTATGTTATCTTTGATTTACTGGAAAATTAAAACTCCTAAATTCATCTCGTGTAAGTTATCACAACCTTGTTTCAGAAAAACAGAACAGGATTCAAATGACCCAGAGTGCCTCTACAGGGTTGATTTTGAGGAAGACAACTGCACACCCAGATTTTTTTCATCCAATTCTGTTGCTTACAGCTATTCAATACAGCTGGAATCAATCACCTTTAGTACAGCTGACAAGAAATAGAAAGGAAGTTGCTTAATGAAAATACAACAAGAATTGTGCTTGGGAACTTTATCAAGTGGTATTCAAAGTCTATCTTTCTCTGCTGATGCCCCAAAATTCACTATTTCTTGTRCTCATCACACATTGCAGAAAGCAAAATTACAAGTCTTCTGGATTCCAATGATTTCAGCAGCCTAGAAGTAATGGGCTGTGTATCCACCTTTTAACCAAATTCCATATTCCACAGGCCAAGCTGACAGATGATCATGAAGAGACAACAAGCTAGAACACAGTCCAGGCAAGTCAGAAATCGGTGAGTGAAATGTTTCAAACATTCCTCCCTAACTGCTGAGCAATAAGTAGGGGTGGTGAGTGAATACAGAGATATATTTTAAGGTCTTATTAACTTCAATATTTTAAGCAGAAATTTTCAATTTTTTATGTYTTTAACAGGTAAATACTTCTGCAAAATTTCAAATTTCTTTGAAATGCAGCACGAAGCCACAATCTCTATGTCCTACTTTATTAATAACCAATACCATAATGTAGAAGGTTGCATTTTTTTCATATCTCTGTGACCCAGCCGAAGACAAATGAATTTGCTTGATGTAAGCTGGGCTTCAAGTCCTTAGCTGTAAATCAGGCATAAAAACAACTCTACAGAATGTTGTCAATGTTACATTATCACAGCCCTGAACATCACAGAAATCCCTACAAATCTGCTGCAGAGCACAAGAAAAATGGCACTGAAGAAAGCACACAACATATCCAACAGAATTTTGAACTGTACCTCATTTAATAAACCAAATCCATGCAATAATTAATAATTAATAAATTTAATAAATAATAAACCATGCAAGTCTGAAACAGCAGATATTCAGAAAAATACAGACTCATGGAAGAAGTGTGTACGTACAAATGAAACAGAATTAAAAACCTGATGGATAACCCCAAACTTGGTACATCTGGTTGGAAATCCTGGTTGATACAAACTTAGAGTACATATATTTCTATAATAATTTATTATGGCAATATTATTTTGTCAAAAATAAAACTAAAGCAATACAAAAAAATTGTATTGACCAYTTAACTGCCAAAGACCCTTTCTCTCCTGAGTGTAACAAAAATAATTGTGTTTGACACAAACTCTGGAATAGCACCTTGGATTCTCACTTGTACAATTCTATTAAACAAATGCTTCACTTTGAGCTCTTACAACCCTGTCCTTGCTTTTACAGACATTTTTGCAAATGAGAGAACAAGTACAAATGAATACTACTTCAGTATTACTTCATTTCAAAGGAATTCTCCAGAGAATTAGAATTATCATGAATGTGTACGTTCTGTACTCTTTATTTTAACAACTTCACCGACACAAATATCTGGGAGCTCTCACAATCCTACACATCCACTAGATGGCTCTGACACTGCCTGTGTGTATCAAAACTCATGTGTAAGACAATCAAACAAACAAAAAACCTCGACTCTGTCCTCATGGGTCTGCACTGCACTATGCAGACACAGCCAGATATAGATAAAAGAATCCAGCTGGAATTCCTTATAGAACTGTAATGTAAAGACACCCAGCAGCCCAAGATAAAGCCTTTTCCAGGTATTTCTCTTCAACTAACATAGTAAAATACATGCAGCTGGAAGCATCCACTGATTTGGAATGAGACTGAAGAAGTCATTTTTCAAGGCTGGCAAATAAAAAGCTGGTCTGTGATAAAAGGTACTAATAAATACAGTCAATGAGAATCACAGCTCTTCTGCCAGTCCTCTTTTTCTCACCCACCATTTAAAGTGGCAACTTTTGGGGTTAGATTTTGTGGAATTTGCTCCCTTCCTCCCATCAGTCTGCAAAACTGTTGGAAAATCCAGGTGTAAATTCCATGTTCTGAGCTGCAGCTGTTTAATGAGCAGATATCTTCATCCTTCTCCTTTGCATTCTGACCTTTGTCATTCCATCCTCTGTCCACAAAAATGTTTCCTACTGCAAAGTCTGCAGGGAATTATTAWATTTTCCTTCACCGACAACATCTACACATTGTGTAAACTGAATGATCTGCACACACAGATTTTTATGTAACATACATCCTTTTAGCAAGGAAACTTTGMAAATGCTTGTTTTCCTTTTGAGAAATTAAATTATCAGGGAAAGACTAGCAAAGAATTAAAGCACATATTTCTATTTAACAGATTTACACACTAGTGTTTGACTGATCCTAAATGAAACTTGGAGATAATGAATCTTCATGACATTGTAAGTCCAGTGATTTTCCCTTTCCCCTTTTATGTTTAACATCTCTTCACTATTTGATCTTTTTATATATAAAAGCAGATAACCACTTTTCCAGTTCTGTTCTTTTAATGATTTCTTTGCTCACCCATGTCATCTGTTGCATTCAAAATGTCAGTGAAGATCTCTCAGTACCAATTCTAAAATCAGACTGAATATTTAGCATTGAGCAAACCTAGAAAAAAACACACAGAAGCGTTGTAAAGGGTCTATTTTCCATGAAGAATGTTCAACAAAACTCCCAATTGCTCCATTTCTCTTCTTYTGGTCCCATTTATAATTCAAYTTGTCAAACATTATTTCCAACTTGYTTTTTAAAGAATATTTTTCCTTTATTTTGCATTTGTTATTGGTTGAGGAGTTTTCAACTATCAAGTATTTTCATTTACTATGATTGCAGAAGGAGATGAGTAATTGCTCCACACAAGTATTGTGTTTTGGAGTGGGTTTAGAAACTAAGTATCTTCAAAAATTAATTTAGGTGCTAAAATAACAACTTAATCCTACAGACCTGTTTAAATTTTCCTCTGATTTTTTCCAGATCTTCTTGCAGCTTATCATAAGTGGGATCTTCATAYGGGAATTTCTGAATCATCCCTATTAATGAATCCAGCGCCTTTATCCTTTTGCTACAAAAAAAAAAAAAATCAAATCAAAACAGAAAACCCAATGATGCTCCCACAGGAGTTTTTCCAATCCATCAATATGAAAACCATACTGATATATAATAATCAGAGCATAGAACCCAGCCCTCCATCCTTCTTTGATTTAACTTCTCTCATTTAGTTCATTGTCAGGTGTGTTTGATACATATTTAGGAAATTATCCAAACTAGGAATTATTCCAAATTAGGAATTAAGCACAACTGACAAAGTTAAGGTTTACCTTTCAATTTAATGGAACAAAGTTGAGAAATATTCAAGAATCAACCAAAGTATTGATTAGATGACTAAGCAAAACAAAGAAATGCAACCAAAAGGACATACTGTCAAACAGATTAATCAAAACTGAACAGAAAAAAAAGATATGAAGAAAAGAATGACAGTCACAGTAAAATTACCTCCAGCCTATTAAACCTCACCTGTTCTTTTCATCTGTGCATTTCTGGAGCAGACAGTGCCACGTCAGTGCAAATCCAAGGTAGGAGCCAATCTAAAAGTGAATTAAAACAGAGTGTCACAAGGGAAAAAATACCAAACACACAGCATAGACAAACAAAAATAAAGTACTACACTGTATCCCATTCTTCAGGAAACAAAACTCTGGATACACAGCATGCTTCCAAGCTGAAAAGGCTGACAAGTGTCAGATTACCCACATCAGCCTCACATTTAATGGGAGTCACTGTCTATAATCCTGCTGCCCTCTGGTACTTTCCCAATATGAGCAAATTARAGCACTTCTCCTTTATGGTCCATCCAGGACCATTTTGTACAAAAGCAKCCAGCTTTGGAGACTGCTGTTTGGCATTCTCATCCTGGAGCTATGACCAACTGCAGCTGGACATAAGGGTTAGGTTGAGGTGCCTCCCTACCAGTGTCCAGCCCTCAAATTTCTAGGAATGATTATGGATCCAGGTGAGCCAGCACACAGAACTGGATCCGTATGCCGAAGAGGAGTAGTACCACTCTAATTTGTTAATGAGAATTAACAGAGTTCAAGAGGCACATAGGACTGTCTCTTTATGCTCCAAGATTCCAAGCTCTTCCCTATGCTGAGCCATAGGAGATGGGGCCTTTAGCCATAAATTTGGGAAGAAAAGATTACCAAAGCTSCATACAGCAAATAAGCTCACAAAACACAAGCACATTTATTTAACTCTCCAAATCAAAACAACACTTTWAACCCAGTTTTATGGGTTCTCCTGGACACAGACAAAGCAGTGGGACACATCTGGGTTYAGACTGTCTGTGCATCAGGCCTGAAAGCTTCTGTGTGGCTGTCATTTTCTAATGACAAAATTCCAGTCCAAGTCCCAAAGTGTTTTCCCACTTACCTCTGAGCCCATCCTGGCTCCGTGGAGAGCTCCRTGCCTCCTTCCCTCAGCCATTCCAGCATGGCTGCCCTCTGCATACCCCTCCTGGTACCCCTCCCCGTGGAACCTGGRGACACAGAACCACAGCTTTGTTAATCTCATCCTGAGCTCACACTGCACACGAGCAGCTCATGGGAACAGAAATGTGCATTGCCTCCAAAGCGAAATACCAACAGGCAGAAATATCAGACAATACTGATTTAAATCCCAGAATCCCAGACTCATTCAGGTTGGAAAAACTCTGAGATCATCCAGCGGAACCTTTGAATGATCACAACCTTGTCAACCAGACCAAAGCCCTGAGTGCTACGTCCAGTCATTTCTTGAACATATGCTGGGATGGTGGCTCCAACATCTACCTTTGACAGCCTGTTCCAGTGTCAGGCAACCTCTTCCATGAAGAAACTCTGCCTTTTGTCCAAATTAAACCTCCTCTGGTGCAGCTTGAGGCCACTTCCTTTTGTCCTGTCATTGTTACCTGGGAGAAAAGTCTGACCCCCACATGGGGGGCTCCTGTCAGGGAGCTCTAGAGACAGAGAAGGTCCTCCCTAAGCCTCAGTTCCTCCAGGCTGAGCCCCCCTCAGCCACTCCTTGTGCTGCTCCAGATCCTGCCCCAGCTCAGCTCCCTTCTCTGCACACTTTCCTCCTCAAAGCCTTTCTTGTAGTGAGGGACCCAAAACTGACCCCAGGATTCAAGGTGGGGCCTCAGTGGTGCCCACTACAGGGGGGTGGTCATTGCCCTGGTCGTGCTGGCCACACTATTACAGACACAGGCCAGCATGCCACTGTCCTTGGCCACCCGGGACACCTGGGCTCGTGTTCAGCCACTCTCCAMCAGCACCGCCAGGCCCTTTCCCTCCAGGTTGCTTTCCAGGCACTCTCCATCTCTCCTGGAGTGCTGCAGGGGGTGTAGTGACCCAAGGACTGGGCCCGGCAACTGGCTTTGCTGACTCTCATCCCGCTGGTCTCATCCAGCCTGTCGGGGTGGGTCCCACTCTGCTCTGCGACCAATTCCCTTGGGAGCCTGTTCCAGGGCCAGACCGCCCTCYGGATGAAGAACCTTTCCCYGATATCCAACCTAAATCTCTCCCCACCCGGCTCCAGGCCGTTTGGCGCAGGTCGGTCCCTCAGAACGCGCAGCGAGGCGAATTTTTCCACCGGCCCTTCTCCCTTCCCATTCCCCGCGCAGCTCCCCCTGGGAAGCACAGCCGCAGCCCCAGGGGAGCCCCGCGTTGCCGGGGGGAGCAGCCCCTCTCGGGCTGGGTCTCTGCCCTCACCTCTGCTCGGCCATCACGATCCCCTCGAACAGGTCCGCCATGGCGYCGCGGGGCACGCCGGGAACGGACGGCGCGCGGGAGGGGGCGTGGCCTGTGCGATAACCACGCCCCTCTTGCGGACAGGCCACGCCCACACGCTGTGGCGGCGCGTGCGCACCAGGGGGCGCCAGAGTCCCGCCACAGAGCGCGGCCTGAGGGACACGGCGTGTGAAAAATCCCGCTCTGCGAACCAAAAATCCCTCTCTGCATCCCAAAAACCCGCTCTGCGAACCAAAAACCCGCTCTGCGAACCAAAAATCTATCTCTGCGTCCCCAAAATCCCGCTCTGCATCGCAAAAATCCTGCTCTGCGAACCAAAAATCTATCTCTGCGTCCCCAAAATCCGTCTCTGCGTCCCCAAAATGCCTCTCTGCGTCCCCAAAATCCTGCTCTGTGTCCCCAAAATCCCTCTCTGCATCCCAAAAATCCCGCTCTGCATCCCAAAAATCCCTCTCGGCGTCCAAAAAGTCCCACTTTGTGTCCCAAAAATCCCTCTCTGCGTCCCAAAAATCCCGCTCTGCGTCCCAAAAATCCTGCTCTGCATCCCCAAAATCCATCTCTGCGTCCCCAAAATCCCGTTCTGCGTCCCAAAAACCCACTCTGCTTCCCCAAAATCCCGCTCTGCATCCCAAAAATCTATCTCTGCGTCCCCAAAATCCGTCTCTGCGTCCCAAAAATCTATGTGTCCCCAAAATCCCGCTCTGCGTCTCCAAAATCCCGCACTGCTTCCTAAAAATCCCGCACTGCGTCCCAAAAATCCGTCTCTGCGTCCCCAAAATCTATCTCTGCGTCCCAAAACCCCTCTCTGCATCGCAAAAATCCTGCTCTGCGTCCCCAAAATCCTGCTGTGTGTCCCAAAACACCGCTCTGCGTCCCCAAAATCCCGCTCTGCATCCCAAAACCCCGCTCTGCGTCCCCAAAATCCCACTCTGTGTCCCAAAAGTCCCACCCAGCATCGCAAAAAACCCGCTCTGCATCCCAAAAATCCCGCTCTGCATCCCAAAAATCCCTCTCTGCATCCCCAAAATCCCACTCTGCGTCCCAAAACCCCACTCTGCGTCCCCAAAATCCCGCTCTGCGTCCCCAAAATCCCGCTCTGCGTCCCCAAAATCCCGCTCTGCGTCCCCAAAATCCATCTCTGCGTCCCCAAAATCCCGCTCTGCTTCCCAAAAATCCCGCCCTGCGTCCCAAAAATCCCTGTGTCCCAAAAATCCCACTCTGCATCGCAAAAATCCCTCTCTGCGTCCTAAAAATCCCACTCTGCATCCCAAAAATCCCGCTCTGCGTCCCCAAAATCCTGCACAGGCTGCCCTGAGCAGCTGTGGCTGTCCCTGGATCGCTGGAAGTGTCCAAGGCCAGGTTGGATTCAGCTTTGAAGAACCTGGACCAGTGGAAGGTGTCTGTGCTCCTGGAATGAGATGATCTTTAAGGTGCTTTCAACCCAAATCATTCTGTAATCCTAAAATATAAATATTTTTGGTGTAAATACCCATCCAAACTGTAGGGTGGCATTCTAGGCTGCTCTGTTACAACACTTACGAGTTATTACAAATCAACACTGGTCAAAATAAGTATTTATACTTAAYTATAAACCTATGTTTTAATGTTAACTTACACTGTTACTTTCCAGATACTTAATGAAAATGTGGCTCTGGGTACATCACACTACTCTGCCAGCCTGGTGTTGGCTCACACATATTTTTGAGGAAAAAAAAGAAATTTTATTTAATTTGTTGTGTTGTTCTCCAYGCATATGCGAAGTACACTGGCAGAGTAGAAAGAGTGGCCCCAAGTTTTCCACAAACAGGGTTGCAGTGATTTGAACAGAGGTGAAGTGGACACTATGACTTTTGAACTGATTTATAGGTTTTTTACACTTCCTCCAAGTGGAAATGAAGACTCTCAATATCTCCTTTCCTGCAGCCTCCCCACCCCTCTAACAAATCGTATTTGCACATCACAGCTTCCAACTGAGGCTTCACAAGGAGACATTTGACACCTGAGCTTTAAAAACCTTTTAGGGCTGTAAAATGTGCTACTGCAAATGAAAGCATTGTCCTACTGTCTTTGAGGAGCTCTGATGGACAGGGGACCTGTGTGGTGAGGAGTGGCGGTGATGTTTGCATTCCCACAGAACCAAAGGTGCTTTTTGGAGGTTTTGCACACCCAGTTCCTGAGCCAGTCAGGTGTTGCAGGGCAGGGGAAGCATTTCCCAGCAATCCTCCCACCTCAAGCTGAGATTTTGTCAGATTTTATAAGCAAAGCAGCCAGGTTTGGTCAGAGCTGGGATGGGAAAGCTTCAAGGAAAACTAAAGTGCYCCAGGAAGCGGTGTGGGTTAATTTGGCTCCTGGCATTCTTCCCTCTGTCTGAATAAATATTGAACCAACCTCTACTCATGCTGTTGCAGGAAAAAACATTGTGCTGCTGGTGGGAGATGGTAATCCAAAGGTGTCAGCAAATAGGGTCACCAGAGAGCTCAAGATGCTGTTCTCAAATGTATTGTCTCCTGTCTTTGCACCCTTCAGAACTATTCACAATGTTACACCCACTTAAAACATCTCTCACTGGTGAAATTAAACTGTGTACCCTCCAAGCTCAATTGTTTGCCATGTCTCTTGTCAAATCTGTGCCATCTTTTAGCAGAAAAGTAAAAGTGGAATTTTTTTTGACGAAACTTTAGAAGTTCGTTTGTATTTTCTTGTTTTCTGGCTTTGGTTTTCTTTAATAAAAAAAAGGTCTTGAAAGGTGTTCAAAGAAAATAAAGTGACTGATCAAAACTGGAAATGAAACCCCCTCAAATCTGAAACATTTTGGAAAGAAACGACCTGAAAATCAGAACTATCTCTATCAACACATGAGGAGTGGGAGCCCTCCGGATGTGTGGCAGTGGCTCAGCAAAAAAGAGAATGGGAAACACCACAGGAGACGTTGGCCAGCCAAGAAATCTGCTGTTCCTGTGACTCCCAGCATTTCCAAACTGAAACACCCAGGCTCTTTTCCTGCCACAAACTGACATCTTTTTTCAGGCAAAACTCACCAGTTTTCTCCCTGGTTGCACCGCTGAGAATCATTCCCAGTTTTAAAAGGGAGCAGCCTCCCACACACARGATTTTTTTGTCAAGCACTGCACCAAATTGCCCAGRGAAGTGGTTGAGTCAACATCTCTGAAGGTATTTAAAAGATGTATGGATGTRGCACATAGGGMGAGACAAAAGAGTCAAGCAGATTTCAGTGTTGAAGATGATTTTCTCTTTTATTGCAAATGTGATACACTACTGATAATGCACAGAAATTTAAAAAGCTACTGTTGGCTAAAATTCCGTGATTACAAAACTTCACCAGATTTGTTACAACTAAAAAAAMCCCACCTTCAGGAGTATATAAATAGAATTTTGAGCATAAATAACAGTAACAAAATAAACAGATGCATGTATTCAATAAATTAATTATAAATATTGCATTGGCAATGAAGTGCTAGGTCAGAAGAACCAGTATTTCCAGTAGAGCTTTTCTTTTTATTATTTTTTTGGGTACAGAAATCTCTATTATAAATGAATTGTTGGAAACAAGTAGAATCCCTGAACTATCCTTTTTTTTTTTTTTTTTTTTTTTTTTCCCTTTGGCTTCACCTTGGTTATTCCTTCCTTGAATCTTTTCAAAGGGAGAACAGAACTGAAGACATCAGGTGCCTTGGTCAGAGGGACTCATAATCCCTTCCTTCCAGGAGAATCCTGACCCAGTTCTGCAGCTTTTAACTCACTAAACCATCTCTCCACTGATTCCCATGGATGCTGAATCAAGCCTGGAAGTGACTTGAAAGAATTCCTGGTGGTTAAAGGTTAAACACAAAAACCTATTTTGCAGCTGATTTGACCTATACATCCGTTTTCAGTGGTTTCCCCCATTTGCTAACAACACAGACATGCTTATATACAGCAGAATTTTCATTTAAACACTAATTTGAGCTGTTCATTCCCCACCTGATGAACATCAATTCTAGTCCTSTGCACTCTTCCAACCACGCACTGAATTCTCACTGATTTTGATGAGAACTCTCTGTTGCGTGATTCTGATGCCACAGAGAACATAATTTAGCCTACACAAGCAATCAACGATCAAATTTCCCAAAGCACTCTAGCAATAAGGGAAGGGAGTAATTTTTCCCTTTCTCCCCTTATTTTCTAAGGGAAGAAAACACAATATACAAGCAGGATTTGTTTTTTTCAGTAGTATGCTTTCAACAGAATGTTTTCCCCAGGATGTTGTTAGCAGCCTTTTAAGAAGCAGCATTAACTCTAGTTACATCTGTAAAAGGATGTTTCCTCCATCTAGTTTTGGTCCAAATATTTGAGTTTAAGATCGCTGAGGAGGAAAAGGTTTTCTGCATTTGCTTGTAGGAGCAGAAATAACAGGTGAATATATGGCATAGTGAAGCTGATGCAGAAAAATTGTAGTTACTGTATCATCACCTGTGGAGGAGCTCTTCTAAAGCTGCTAAACTTTTTGTATGTAATCCTCCTTTTCCAAACAGAACTATGGATAGGCAATTCTTTAGACTACAGGACAGCCTCATGGCACTCTTCTCTTACAGGTACAACAAGGACAAGGCTGGCTCCATGCTCAAATATACAAAAAGGTTCTCAAATAGCACTACACGAAGAGCTAAAAGCCCTGCAGTACTCTGCAATATTCCTGTGAAAACGCCTGTGTGAGCACAGTCACTTCTGGAAGCTGGGGCTCTTCACTGGGGCCAGTTTGGAGGTGATGCCAAAGGGATCCATGCTGTCCGTCTCCAGGGGTGAGGAGAACRCCTCTGGCTCAAAGGCCTGGCTGTAATCACCATATTCCCCAAAGTCTGCTGACTCCACGGGCACTGTGTTGATCATGGGCAAGAAGTGAGACAGGGGAAGAAAATCTTTCCCTTTGAACTGCTGTCTTTGYTTGGCACTGCTCAAGGACACTGATATTCCATGTTTTTTTGATTTATACACGTTGTAGCCGTCCGGGCGAATCTCCTCCTCAAATGAACAGTCTTCAGTGGAATACCTGAGCTGAACAGCAGGAAATAACAAGAATTACAAATATACTCACCAGACTGCTTGTATTCAACCACAAAACAAGCCTTGGGTGGGACAAGTCCTTCTCTGTCTGCCATCAATGGGAGTTTTCCTCTGGCTTGTCCCAATCCCTATTCTATTCTATTCTATTCTATTCTATTCTATTCTATTCTATTCTATTCTATTCTATTCTATTCTATTCTATTCTATTCTATTCTATTCTATTCTATTCTATTCTATTCTATTCTATTTCTATTCTATTCTATCCTATCCTATCGTATCCTTTATCCTATCCTATTCCAGAACTCCTTAAGTTCTTTCCATATCCATCACATTAAAAAAGCTTTGACTCTCAGGATGTGCTTCATCACAGCCACCACACTAATCTGTCCTGAGCATTGGGAAAAAGAGTTGCAGATGCCAGTGCTGATTTAGATTGACTCTCCTTAATTGCTGACAGTAATTAATTGCAGTCATGAGACCTAACCCTGCAATCCTCTGGTGTAGAACTCCGGCTCTGTTAGAGATTTGCCTGTGCAAGGGCTTCAGGATCAGGTCTGTAGAAAGGCAATGTGGCCAATCAGAAAAACAATGCTGAAGGCTAATTTCCACTCTTTTCCACTCAAAATTTACTAAAATTGCAAGAGACCCATTTACAGAGTGTCCTTTTCATGTTAACATGAGAACTATCAAACTAATATCAGCACAGGTTAGGATTTTGTACAGAAGAATGTGTTTTCTTAGCTATGAATTTGTAGGATGACATTTGCAATGGCCTGTACAGATATTATATAGCTTTAATATCTGAAGATATAAATGTATATACATATAAATAATATATTTGTATATTARGCTTTTGTATCAGTATGTCAGACTGCTCCAGATCTTCATACAGGCATTTACACATTTYTAACAACTCTGGTGCTATTTCAGGCTCAGCTACTGCAGGTGATTGAACTTGTGGTCAATAAAAGACAATTGCTGATTATGTGTCAGTCTGCAGTGACAGCAATGTCCTTACATGAATGTTCTGCCTGTTTGAACAGAGAATATTTAATTCTTTGGGGCCTTTCTCAAACACCCTCAGTAACAGGGAGTAAAATTAAGGGCATGCATTTAATTGTCCTTTGAAAGCACAATAAAAATTTAGTTCTTTTGAAAAAGATGTTTTCTACAAATAAAAGAGTGTGTCCATACACACATACATTGTGTCTCAGAAAAATACATGTATATGACAAAAAAAATTGGGGCTGGATTGTTAGCTGTCTTTATGAGTGCTCAGCCTCACTAAAAGAAATAAAAGAGCTTCTTGCTCAAGAAGAGCACACTACAAACAACAGATATTGATTGAATCCCCATGTCTCAGYCATATCTTTCTCTCTTCACTTCATYGGGATGGTCTCTAGTGGGTTTTTATAAACAAGTACCAGACAGACTATAAGTACTTCCAGGATGTCAGTATATCCAGGATTTCCCCTAAACTACAGACTACAGCACGCAGCACATTCAAAAATCAACCCTAGTCATCAGTTTTCCAGTGTCAAAACAGGCCATGTGGCAGCAGTACAGGTTCAGCCCCCAGCCACCGTGTTTGCCCTTTTGTTCTTGAACYCCGGAGCGTGCTGCTGATAAGGTAAAGATTTACCTGCAGAGCTGCCTGGCTGYGCTGTGGGCACAGAGGTGACAGCAGGTGTCCACACCATGGAGATGTGACAGCACAGCTACGTGCTGTTGTGTTTTCAGAAAAAAAAACCCAACCTGCATTTAATAGTCTACACCAACAAATGCAGCTTCAGTCAGCATGTATGCCTTCAAAATGGTGTTACAGGAAAGCCAGTTTGAAATATAGGAAACTTAAAAGTCCAGCTGCAATGGGGGCAGAATCTAGGCTCTGATTTGGTTTAGATATACATTCAAATATGAAGCTCCTAATTGACCTATCATGTCATTTGAACCTGTGCACATAATCATAGCATCGACTGATTTGAGCCCAGAAAAAGCAAGGAAATTCAGAAAGAAAGGCTTAATTCTATGTTATATCCACATTCAGAAACATCAGTGTTGCCCTTATTAAAGATACTGGGAGTTCTGAGAATGGCCCAAGTCCTTTCCTGATTTAAATCAGCAGAAATTTTGCTGGCGTTAAAAAAAAAAACCAAAAAATTTCAAGTTTTATCTTTACTGTGGCATCATGAAAAGCTATCAGTCTGTGAAACTCAGGCTTCTGTACAGACTGAATCTGAACTGTACCTAGAGTCAATAATGTATCCACGTGCCTTTAAAAATGAGTTTATGTCAATGACTCGTTGCTATACCTCGTGAAAAAGCATGACCTAACAAAGTGGCACCAGTAGATCACTGAACTCTGCAACCTCTTGGAGTCGCACAGGTGTCCTGTCACAGCAGGGCAGAAGTGAGGCAGTGAGAAGCATCCTTTCCCCCTCAAAATCCTTTTTCTGTTTGCAGCTTCCTAAGAGATGGCAACCCCATCCTCCGGGGTCTTTTATGTTCCTGGATCTAATATCTGCCAGCTGGCTGCAGCTCTTCTCCAGAGGAGCAATCTTTCTTTTTTCTTTCTTTCTTTTATTTTTTTTTTCCAGAACACCTGACCTGAACAGTGAGAAAGTATTCACATTCTACGCCACGGCTTAATCTCCTTCTGCAGCAGAATCACAATCTCCCACTGATGAGAATTTGAAACCTAAATACAATTTTGCCTTTGGCTATCCTTTCCGTATATTTTGGGAGGGGACACGCAAAACATAATTTACTTTCTAAATGATGTTTCCTTTCTGCTTTCTAGCAATGCCCACAGGCTTTCGGGCAGGGACGATAACAAGAATCGCAGGAGAGCCGGCGGGCGAGAGGGGTGGTAGGGTGGCGGACACCTGAAAGCTTTGTTACCCCGTTATTAGAACACGCCAGCTCTGTGGTCTCTGTTCCAGGGTGGAAAGCCCACCTTGGGGAAGCAGCGCGGGTCTCACCTGCCCGCGCAGCCGCCCCGCCTCATCCATGCACAGGTACCGCGAACTCTGCACGCCCTTGATGGCCACGGTGCGCACGGCCACGGCGCGGATCTCCAGCAGACCTGCGGGCAGAGAGAGAGAGAGAGAGAGAGAGGGGACATGATGCCACCCCGGCCACCCCGACCCTGCCCCATCCCCGCTCCCGCTCCCCGCCGCCACTCACTCTGCGGGCTCTGGCTGCCGGCAGCGTCCACTCGGCCGTCGGCGCCGATGCGCAGGAAGCAGCTGAAGAGCCCGTGCTTGCTGGCGGTGTAGAGGTGCCGCAGCCGGATGGGCTCTCCCCAGCCGTAGTTGAGGTGCGGGCCGGCGTCAGGCAGCGGCAGCGGCAGCGCGGAGGCGGCGGCGGCCGCCAGAGCGAGCAGCGCCAGCGCGGCGGGGCGCGGCCCCATCGCGGCGCGGCGCCTCGGGGCTGTAGCGCGGCCGCAGCCGCCCCCTGGCCTTTTATAGCTCGCCCTTATCAGCCCCATCGATCCGGCCGCATCCGATATAGAGCCCATTTCATAGCCGGATCGGTCACTCCCCCCGAAAATATTGAGCGGGTGACATCATTTCGCAGGGGACACCCTGAAGTCGCTTCCTCGGCATCCGCACCTCCGAGCTCTCCGCTCCTCCGAGGCTCCGTCCYGGGGCACTGCAGGTCCCGGCGGTGGGCGTGTGTGTCCCCAGCCCACCCAGCGGCACAAGGCAACCCCGCTCCCCGCCGCGGCTCAGCCCCTGCCTTCCTCCTTACCCGTCCCACATTTCATTGCCGCTTTCAGAGATCAATGAGCTGCTGCCTGAACGCGGGCTCCCACTCCGGGCGGGGGCCGAGCGCTGGGGAACGGGACGGCCGCTCCCGGTTCGGGACGGGTGACGGGCGCTGGTACAGCCCGGTCCGGCCCCGCAGAGCCCGGTCCGGCCAGGTGCTGGGTGTCCCGGAGCGGCTCCGGACACATCCCCGCCTGTGGCACTAGATGGAGCCTGGCCCCTGGGATGCGGCTGCCTCGCCTCAGCCGAGCCGCTGCCGGGGGGCTCTACAGCTCCTGTTCGTCCCTTCTTCTTGGGGGAAAAAAATCCTGTGTGAAGTAATACTGCATCGCCCCATTTAAACTTCAAATAGATTTTTTTTTTTCTGGTGTGTGCATGGATTTTTTCCATTTTCTCCTCACGGRGAGACTGCTCAGCGAGGCACCAGGAGAGATGGAAAGAAGCAAACGCACACATTTGGGGGGTTTCCACCCTATCTGCATCTTGGGATTGCTGCCAGCTTTTCTGTTCTACATCCAAACTGATAATTTAAAGAATTTTCTCAGACTTCAAAGGGAAAACTAGCATTTTTATAAAGAAAAAAAAAAGATTTCTGTTTTGCTACTTGTTTGCTTTCATCCCTTTGTCCCTACACTTGCATCACTGTGCTACAAACACTCACACAAATAACTTTTCTTCATGAGGAATCTTAGCTCAGTGAGGAGGAGCACATAGACAAGGCTGTGCAAAAACACAGAAGCTTGTAGGATGATGTCTTTCACTTTTTGTCATGTGCAACTTCAGATGTATTTAACTGGAGTTAACAACATTGATCAGTCAGAGTTGGAATAATCAGGGTCTTGCATAACAAACTCACCGGGAGTGAGGGATTGAATCTCAGCAKTCATTTCAAAAGCGGCTATTGCTTTGGATTAGCTTTGGTTATTTTTTGGTGATCACCTTCAGGCACCCAGAAAAGACCCTAGTTTTTCTCTGCATGGTTGCTGAATAATCAGTAAGGATTAGGACAACTTCTCATTCAGGTGTCTCCTGCTGCATACTCCAAATCACGGGCTTTTCTACCATTTCTGACCTTTCCTAAATCACAGAAGCTCACAATATTATAAGCYCAGTAAATAATATAGAGGCATGCAAGTCCCTAATTATTTTTTTCCTCTGCAGAGGTCTGCAATGTTATTACATGGCTGCTACAAAGGCAGTTCCTGCCCTGCAACCCTGGGCCCCACAGCAGTTGTGCATGTAACTCATCCTGGCATTCTTCAAGGTACTGAGCACCCACCACACACGCAGAGGTTATGGTCTGAAATGGATCTGAAAGGTTTTTTAGCTCATTTTTCTGTGCATCTCAGTGAAGCTATTTTATGATCACTACTTCTAYGCTCTAGTGAGAATAATAATCATGAGCGTAAGTTTTGTTTTCTTCATCAAGAAGTTCAAATTTCTTTCAAGCACTAAGGAATTGATGCTTGTAACTTTTTTATTCCTCTCTGTGGAAAGGAATCAGAAATTGAGGCAGAAAGGACAAATTACTTGCAGTAAATATTATTTCAAATCAGTGAAAAAAGCTGGATATAAAGGAGAATTTTCCAACAATAGATGCAATGCCTTTAAAAATTATTTTTGTTATTGCTGTTGCAGATGTTACACAGCTGATGTTAAAGGGTGCATGTCTAATAAAATTAAAATTAAAATAAATCCGTTTAATAATATTTTGGAATGGTCTCTTTTGTTAGGGGAAGGTTTCAACCTAAATAATTTGTCCAGGTTCTCCTAGAGTCCCTGACAGAGGTAAGTGCCTGCAAGCACTTAACTRAATAATACCAACCCTATCACAAAACAGCTACTGAAGAGATATGGGTTAAATATACACTGGAAGTRTTCATTTCTTTATTGCCTCTGTAAAGAAAAAAAAAAACCTAGGTGATTAACTCAATTCAAGGCCTTATTTTTAGCTAGAGATAAATGAGCTAGTGAATGTCACTGTTTTCAAAATACAAGAGTTGCAACACATGGTTTTCATTTCAGTTCCTGTCTGTGTCACTGAACTTTATCATTTATTGGCATCTTTTACCAAAGTTCAATAAAAAGACACATGCCTTTGCATGTTCATACAAATACACTTGCAGGAAAAAAATAGATTTGCAGAACAAATGTATTAGAGTGTAAATCACACCAGCACTTCCAGTGTTGAAGCTGCTTCCTGCAAAAAGGAAACTTGGTGGTGTTGGRCTTTCTGCTTTTATAGGGATAGGCAAAACAGACAAAAACCCAGGAGGAAAAATCTCATAGAACAAAAATACCTGCTGACCACACAGAGCGCATTTACAAAAGCATTTTCATCTGTTGTAATGTGTCATTTATTTCCACTGCACTTTTCAATGTCCCTGTGTAATTTCTGCAGAACGAGGAGTCCAGCTTTCAGTATCAATGAAGCTGAAGCAAATGTKTTTTGGAAGAACATAATTAGTTATRATTAAAAGTCAAACATYCAGAGATCCTGGWACACACCAGAAAGGTAACAGTGGGCTTGTGCCTTACTGGATAACAGTATCACTGAAACTAATTGGAAAGAAACCAAACAAGGTAGCCATAAAAATGATTAAGAAATAGAAAATAGGAAACAGGGCATGAAGCCACCCATGAGTAGAAGCWGGTCATAGCAGGCTCCCTTGTGGTGGGATCAAAGGAAAAATTACACAGGTGAGTCCCTCGAGACTGAGTGAGGGTCAGAATGTGATAAACAGGATGTGTTTAGCATGAAGAGGCATTTTCTCAGTTATGGAATGTCTTCAGAATATAAYGGAGAAAGCTTTGGTTGTGCAAGTCACTGCAGAAAGAGGAAAATATCACAGAAACATTGAAGACTTTCTGCTTCCTTTGGGGTATCTTTGGCATCTCCTGCAGTCAGGATTACATGAGTGTGATCCACTGTTACTTTTGAGGAGAGATCTCAAGTCAGAGGCAGGAGAATTACAGAAGCTGCAAATACTCTGAGGCAGTAAGGTTCCAGGCAGGGCTGGGGATGTCACTGCTATTGCTGCTGGTTTCTGGTTTCTGCTGGAGTTCCTGCCAGTCATCCCAGAAGTGACAGAGAAAAGAAAATCATTTCACCAGTGGCAGAGTGCCAGCAGTGCAGCCTTTTCTCTTGCCTCTGGTGGAGAGGAATATGTCAGGAGAACTCRGGAAGGCAGGAGTGAAGACACAGTACCCTGCGATACGCAGTTATTCGAGCACTGTTCTATAAAGAGCCTTATCAGCACAGCGCAAGTCAAAAAAGCTGCCTAAGAAGGAGAGGTTACTCCACCATATGTCAGGGACCTCTCTGCTTCCCAGCTGCTTCTGCAATCCAAGAGGCATGGAGGTGACAATATTTCTSCCCGGGCTGTGAATGAGTGCAGAATTGAGATTCCACAGCTCCCGCTGTGYGCGCCCACTGACAGGATGTCATGGCAAGGGCTGAGCACTCACTGAGTCTCTCCCTTGATACCACAGTCCTCAGTGAATTTGTAGGATTCTGATACACCAGACACAGATTTTCMAAATGATCCACTTCCAGAGGGGTTYTGCTTCTAAAAGCGCTCTGCTCAGGGAGGTCAGCACACTGGGAAGATTGCTGCTGCTGTAGTTTGGATGTGTTGGTGGTGGTTCTTTCCAACCAGACAACAAATTTCAAATATCTCTCACCATTCTGTTATCTAATGCTTCCTCAACTATTGCTATCAGTCAGTGCATTCCAGAGAGCAATACTGAGCATGGAATTGACTCCAGGCTTGCACAGCCAAATGATATCTTCTTGTTAAGTCTATTATAAAACTCACAAAGTTCCCATCAGCTTTGAATAGCCTAAATGCAGTTATTTTTCAATCACTACAAGCCATTATTTAATGTTTTAGAATTATTTCATCCACCCCATCTTTTTTGTATGCTGTGAAATCCTTTGTAATTCTGCTACARAAGAAACCCTTAGTGATTTGAAGGGATCATATTTGGTACAGTAGCTCTCCAGCACCTTATTTACACTAAATACAGTCAGTGTAACAGCAACAAAAGCTATTTTTTATTCTGTTTTGAGCAAATCTTCATCCTGCAACAGAAAGGAATAATTGCAGATTTCYTTGCTAACAGATTGCATTTTCTTTTCCAGCTTGACCTAGGGAGTAATGCCCCTGGGGTTTGTTTACACAACGTGTTTGTGGAAACCTTGAGGAAAGCATTTCCAGAAGAGGATAACTCTAGATCATCAAGTTCTCAGTCAAACGTGGTATCCGTGGAGCATATACCTGTGTCCTTTTCCTGTCAGTGAAGAAATAATGCTGTCTTTATGACAAGTTCTAGATTCACTGGAAATATTTTTCTATATTTTGATAGACAGATAATGGGCAGTAGAAGAAGATATACCAGAAATGCTTCMATCTTGCACACTCAGAGCTGAGGTCCTGTTCAAATGCATCTGAGAGGCAGAACTAATCAGGTGGTCTTATTCAGCCTGATATATTGACAATTCCCACGAAATCACTCCTAAAGAGCATAGTAAGAAGCCAGGATTTGCAAARACTTTGGTGACAAGACCAGTACAGACCCATTAAAATCAACCTCATCCAGAACAATTTCACTGAGTGAAAYCTGGGCTGAATTTGTTCCA